CACCTATATAGTAAGTGGAGCTGATAAAATGGACAATGAGCGTAGAAACAAGGTAGACTATCGATCTATCGATCAATAATTTGAAAGTTGCAGTTGAAATGAGGAAACCTGTGTCAGTGTTCAGCATCAGAAAAATAAACAAATAAATAAATAAATAAATAGGTTTTTCTGATCTGATAAAATGTGACTGCAGTAAATGCCAGGTGTGCACGTGAGTGCGCTTCCAAAATCACCATCCGACTCTTCTGTCTTTGATGTGTTCCAGCTTTTGATCCTTTAAACACTGTAGGAAGCTGCTGACCACCTTTCTGACCTGCCCACTGAGCAGGAGGCCAAACCCCAAACAGATGAGAAATATGTTATAGGCACCTGAAGTTATATTACACCTTGAAATTTAACCAAAGAGAATAGAACAGAGGATTATTATTCTTATTAATATTATTATTGGTGTTGTCATTTTTTATATAAAATATGAAAATAATTATACTAATAAAAACAAATGAACTTGGAATTGAAAGTGTCCACTAGCCCTTTTTACATTAATTCTCATTATATGCATCGTCACACTATCATACGCTGTTTTGTTATTAAGCCGACAGAAAAAAAGATTAAAAGTTTAATAAAAGGTATTTACATTTTATATCTTACATAAAAAAGATCTATTTCTTTATTTAAAGAAAATCTATTATTTATGCCTTGTCAGTATTGAGACATTGCCAGAGAGATCTACTCCGACTGAAAGAGACGCATTTCCACACTCAGCATTATGACTGGTGTGATATAATCTGTGATCTGAGCTGTAAAATCCCACACAATCCAGGCTGGACGTGGGATTACACAAAAAATTTAAACCCAACTGGCAATCTTCACAGATTACACAAGCACAGTCTTCTATGGCAGCTTTATTTGACAAAAATGGTCTGTATCTGGACTCTGCTGAGGTCATGCTCCAGTCAGAAAAGCCTGTGTCTGACCTCACCTGCTACAACGAATAAGTGAAGACACTTTTTAAAATATTTTGCAATAACACAGAATATAATCATTAAATCTGTTTAAAAACAGGGCATATTCCACCAAACCAGCCCACCAGACACAATTTCAGAAAATTACAGTGAACGACAGTGATTGTAGGTTATGTGATTGCGCCCTCTGGTGGTCATCAATAACTATACCGCGCATTAGTCACTCTAAAGAGAGTGTAATGCCTTTCTTTGCCTCAGGCTGTAAACCGTGCCTGCTGTGTTTTCCTGTCACTTCCATTTGTTCCAGGTTTGCATGTTTTCCAGAAGTTTGACAGCTTACGCTTCAGTTCTTTTCATTTTTCAGTTTCATCCTCAAAGGGGCCAGATATCTGTCTAATGTGCAAATGCAGTAAATGAGAAATGAGGAATAATTTAAATTCATCATTGAATTTTCTTTTTTTCTGTTTTTCTTAAACACTACTATGAACACGTCAAAGGGAATTCCACCTATTTCTCAAAATGCAGGCCTAATTATATGTTTATGCGAAATGGTTCACTGGAGAGAAACACTCAAGATGTCTTTACAGTGGTGGTGATAGGAACCAGGGGTCACAATGTCTACAACACAGATATAGACATTTTATTTACTATCCAGAACCACCAGTGAACCTACACGAGTTTTACAAGGAATGTTGGGGACTATTTTACCTCACAACACCCTGCATGTATCCCTCCGCCTTGAATTGCTTTAAATATACTTTTTAGGTCACAACTTTATCCCAAAAGTATCTCAGGCTCAGACATCAGGCAGTGAATTCATAACCATTTCATGTAGTAACTTTCTGTGAGGGAGCTTTTAGAGGTGGATGTCTGGTTCCTATCACCACCACTGTGAACAGTTCTGACTGTAAGTTTCTCTAGAACAGAGCGTTTCACACCAAACCACTCTGAATGACTCTGTTTACATATTTACTATTTAATTATACAGAATGAGGGGTGAGATACGTAATATTTCTAGACTGGTTAAGTCTGCACATCATGATCCTGTTCTCTAATTTTATTGTATTATGGCTGACTGTAAATAAGATTATTAAACATCTCTCTGTCCTAAACCCAACAGCTTTCGCCATCTGTTCACACTGCAGGTTTAAACCGAATTAACATCATTTGGCCATCACTTCACAATTCAAAACATTTTTAAATCCATTCACAGTGGAGGGATACATGCAGGACGATTTAAGGTAAAATAGACCCCCAAGACAACTTGCACTCCTAAAAAAAAAAAAAAGATGGTTCTTCAAGGGTTCTTTAGTAAAGTGTTCATGGTTCCATACTAAAGGGTTCTTTACATCATGAAAAGGTTCTTCACACTGAAGGAGAATGTGCTGTACTCTACAGAACCTTTTTGAAAAGGGTTCTGCCTTAGTAAGAAGCTTGACATTGTAACAATAGCAGGACCATTTTTGGTGTTTTATATAGAACCTTCTACAGCACATTCTCCCTCAATCTGAGGAACCACATTCTCCCTCTACAGCACATTCTCCCTCAATCTGAGGAACCACATTCTCCCTCTACAGCACATTCTCCCTCAATCTGAGGAACCACATTCTCCCTCTACAGCACATTCTCCCTCAATCTGAGGAACCATTTCACGATGAAAAGAACCCATTAATTATGTGAAGGATTCTTTGAGTGTTTATGGTTCTTTATGGAACCATTTCTGTACTGAAGAACCCTTGCAGAACCATTTTTTAAGTGTATGTTTTCAGATTTTTCACTATTTCACCATCATTAATATTTTATACCGCTGCTGTCGGAACAAAACCTCGTATCTCCTTTTTTGACGTTTTCCAGTTTTTGGAGGTGTGAAAATGCCTGTTGTCCTTTACATTTTGTGTAAATCTCATGAAGAATGAAACGGCTCAGAATGACTTGGAAAAAAAATCTGGTTCCATTGACTCACATTAAAAGTAAAGTATGTTTTTTCCTTCTCCTGTAAAGTTACCATTTTGGAGAAACAAGGTTTTGTTCTGACAACAGAGATATAAACACTCAGAAGACTCGTGTAGGTTCACTGGTGGTTTTGGATAGTAAATAAAATGGCTATATTTGTGTTGTAGTCATGGCGACCCCTGGTTCCTATCACCACCACTGTAAAGAAATCAGAGCCTCTACAATCAACCATTTCACATAAATATATAATTATACCCACGTTTTGAAAAACTGGTTGAATTCTCTTTACAACCATTTCACACTGAACCACTCTGAATGACTTTGTTTACATCCTTACCCCTGAATTATGTAGAAATTTGGGAAATATACGTGGAATTCCCCTTTAATAGTCTGCCTTTGCATTATTAAGGTTTTAAGTACTCATTAACTGCAAATAACAAAGAAAAAAAAAACTTGTCGGTGAATCAAAATGTGACTCCTCTAAATCAGAAATCGTACCTGTTACAGAAACTCTCACTTCAGCATTTGCATCTTTTTTTTTTTTTTTATTTTCCAAACAAATAATATGGTATACATATTTTTTTCCCCCCAAACAACAACATTAACTCAAACGATGAACGATGTCAAACTAAAAATACTTCATGCTCTAAAAAGTTTGTCGTCAATGGATTCCTAATGAAATATGATTATATCAAAAGTCTGGTCCGTTTGGTATACAATCGACAACTACTGATCTTTTTTTCCTCATGTGTGGTAAAACAATGGTTCTTTACGGCGACACATTTCCAAGATGCTTTACTCTGAAGTGACGTAATATGTACAATCCCAAAGGTAGAAATGACTGACGTACTGAATGGTGTGTGACGCGGTCGACGCAGACAGAGTCGTCGTATTACCTACACCGATGGATACACAGTGGAGAAACGGCTTTCCTCGAATAAAATGCACTTAGACTCTCTCACAGGTCGGTGGATCTAACTGGCCTATGCTGACGTGAGAGGATATTGCCATCGACTGTGAAGGAAACGTGTCCTAGTATTGGATCCAGGCATCCAGGGATCCACCCATCCAGGCTCCGCCCATAGCTCTATTCTGTCATAGCAACTGTTGCTAGGTTACAAGCTTTACAGAAGGCTGGTAAAAAATTGCCCTCAACCTGAAAAACTAATGCACAACTCAATATTTTTATTTTTCAAACAAGTTGAACTTTTTAGAAGGTTATTAGTTTTAATTAATATATTTATTTTGAAAGCACGCAAAAGTCACAGTGTTAAGGCAGATTGTGTGGAGTTATTTATTTTATTGTCACGCAATCAAGCAAATTTTTGCAAATTCTGTCGTTTCCACCCTGCCAACCTTCGTGTATCTCTAATCAAGCACTGCAGCAACGTGATGTGAATAATTTGTGTGTTTTAATTAAAAAAATTAAGATTTCTGCCAATGTTCTGTAAAGCTTGTCCACTCCAGGAACAGCTGCTATGAAAAAATGCATATGTGAGCGAAGCAGACAGGTCAACCGAAAACTTCAGCTTTTCGTTCAGATATACAGCTGTACGCAAAATTCTGAGCACCCCTGGTCAAATGACATTTTTTTGTTGATTTTCTAAGTGAAAACATCACATTTTCTACAGAAAACACAGCTCTGCACATTTTAATAAACAGTTACTGTTTATATGCTCAATCTAATACAATGGGGAAGACAAAGATGTTTTATTATTGTCCAATATGCTTATTTGAGCGAATAAACATTAAAACGTTCCTCTGTAGAGGACGCGTCGACTTATTTTCACTTGGAAAAGAATCAAAAATGTAATCTGACCAGGGGTGCTCAAACTTTTGCACACTACTTCAGTACTTCAGTTTGGCGAAGGCAACTTCAGACTCCTGCTAATGAGAAACTGCTGCTCAATGTGGGGCACTAAATCGACTTTTCAACTTAAAGGAGGAAAGAAAAACATGGTCAGATATAGAATATCTCCCAATGTTAAACCCTCCCCCCATTCTCCAACCCCCACACCCCCCCACCCGTGTCAACCATATCCCCCCCGGCCCTGTTTGCCTACAAAAAGACAAATTTAAAAAAAA